CTCAGCCTTGAGAAAATTATTATAAAATGGGAGTTAGTGTATTAATAGCGGTTAAGGGTTGGATTGGTACTGGAAAGATTTAGATTCTAGTCCACACTTAGCACAGAAGCTGGGTGTGGGCGGTTTTGGGGCCAGTCCCCTTTTTCTCAGCCCAATTATTTTACAGGGTGGTTGTCATAGGGAAAAATACGAGGGCAGAGTACAGAGTATGCTGTGTTAAATTCCTGAAAACAAGACAACAAACAAATAAAGTTACTTATATAGAATGTCAATTCTCTTAACAGTTTCAATTGCATTGTGCATTCTGGAACGACATAATGAAACATGAGAATGAAAAGCCATCAGTCTTTCCTTATGAAAGAATGTAGAGAACTTCTGGGATCAAGTGATTTGTTCTCCCCATATGGTGAAGAGCTATGTGGTGTCATAACAAACTTGGCCCTTGTAGCCTTCCTACTGCTGCTTTCAGATGTGTTAATCCATCTGTTACTAACAAGCCGTGGAAAAGAAAAGGAATAAACAGGATTTTTTTTCTCTTTCTCCCTAGAGACAGAAAAAGAAGAAAGTCAGCTCAGCAATATCAGTTTACTGTAAGATGATCTAAAAGACCAGATTTACAACAGTAGAGAGTTTGACCACTGGCCAACTAGCTTTGTTTCCCACAGTTCAACATTACAGAACAGAATTTCAGACTAAGTAAGATAGCAATACTCACTCAAAGAGGCCTGATGCTGAACAGTGTTTTAACATGTGTTAAAAGAGATCTGTCTTTATCTTAGCTTGAGAAAGCTATATATTTTGTTATACTCTGACTCTGCATATCCTTCCCTATATAATGTAAAAAACAAAATAAGTGACATGAGGTAATTTGGATTTGTTAATCAAAAGATGTTCACAGATGTCCATTTTCTCCATTTGTCAAAAGGTTCTACAGTGCTTCAGCCATTAAGTGGAAGCTAATTCTTGGCCACAATGTCTAAATCAGGCATGTAAAACTCGTGACGTCGCGCGACGTATCGGAGCTTTTTCGCCATTGCCGGCAATGGGGTGGGTGCAGCTCCGGTATGATGAAACTGGCCCGCGGGCCGGCAGTTTGACAGCCCTGGTCTAAATCTTTCATTAAGATTGAACTACTTGTGTACTTGTATAGTAATTAAAAAGTCCTGCTCCAGAGAAAAGGTTTTATGTTGTGAGAGAAATGTAAATCCTCCATAGCATTCAAATTATCTATGAGGAAAACATTGCATATTTTATTTATTTTTTCTAAAATTACTTATGTCTTATTATAGCAATATTTAGAACATGCAACTATGAACTCCATGAATAAACCCATATAGAGCCTTTGATTCCTAATTTGCAAAAAATTACTCCTGTGTCCTTTAATCTACACAGAAAATAACTGTTCACCAACAAATAAAGCAGTCTAGTTGGTGGCCCCTAGATGTGTTGGGGGCACCAAATCCTTAATGCCCAGTCACCAGGCTAGATAAGATTGAAATAAAGAGAAACATGCCATAAATCTATGCAAGTCTAAAGCTTTCTGGAGTGTTTCCTATGCAAGAATCAAAGAGCTTGTGACTCACCAAAGCAAAGATCATTCACTAACCTCTGGATACTAAAAGCTTAAAGAACATATTATTACCACTGCTTCCTGAAATGGCAAAATCAAGCCACTTGTTAGCTATAATACATGGCATACATAACACATAGCATACATAGCTCCAGTTCAGCTTAGCGAATTACAAGTTCTGAAGGGCAAATGCATGGTCTACTTTGCTTCCTGCTTGTTTCCTTTTGTTTTCACCAACTTTCAAGTTCAAGATGCTTCCTAATGATCTCTAGGATGAGACAGAAAAATGATCTTCAAGAAAGATCATTCTGTTGAAATACCATAATGTCTGCTATTATTGTCCTAACCCTCTTTCCAATCAGCCAGCACGAAAAAAATAAAATAAACTGGCATGCATATTTTTTAAGTTCCCCCTCCCATAAACACTTGAGTTGAGAGAGGTTGTTAGCAAGAACTAATTTTGAAATTATCTTCCCAGTTCCTGCTAACTAGTGTTGTTACTTTACATTTGTGTAATATACCAAATCATCGGTAAGCCTCGGTCTTTGGTTAAAGAGCTGTGGGAATGGGAAGATGTGTAGTGAAACTGGAAGAAGGCGTGATCCCTTTCACCAAGTATGGTAACTTAGCGTATTATGCAAACATGGCAATAAGTCAAAGTAAAATAGAGCTGTAATGAGATAAGCTTTCCAAAATATGTTAACATTCTAGCAGATTTTAGAGAAATAAAGGGAAAACATTTTTACATACTGTATTTCTGATAAATGCTGAGATTTTAACGTGCTTTTGGAAGAAGTCAACCAAATTGTATTCCTTGTATCATGCTTAAGGGGGAAAAAACCCATACCATCTGCAAAGAAGTTGTTCTTCCTATCCCTCTGCCAAATTTTACTTGGTGACAGCTGCATCCACTCACCCACTTGCTGGTAGAACTTTGCAGGTCTAGGCATTTATATCTGAGCCAAAGTATACAGCCTATTTCTTTTTCATCATTTGGTGTATGCATCTATTGTTGTATTCTCATTATATGTTTTCCCTTGGTTAACTCAAACATGATTTATTCAGCTAATCTGATTTCAAACAGCACTAGCCACACCAGAGGAGATTGTACAACTTTTAAAATGAGGCTAATTTGTGGCTCAATGTGTAACGCAAAGACAGCCTAAATATATAGGTATAAGGGAAAGAGAAAACATGAAAAAGATATTCAAGAACTGCAATAATATTTTCAGGGATTAAATGTACAAATTTGGGGAGTGATCAAAACCAGACATTTCAGGTGCCAGAGGCTAAGCAATATCAATTAGTGAGAGTGAAGGTTTGTTCTCCAAACTTGGCAGCTTGCTGGCCATTCCTTGAAATTAAAAGATGAGCCTGTCCTGTTGGGGCTAACTTGTTAAGCTTGTGGTCAGTTTGATAGATATCATAAGGAAGAAAGAATATATATAAACATTATGTTCAACCAATGCACTAACTAATGGTTTAACAAACCATGGATATGAAATTATCCCAGTTTTTTAAGTTTTCATTGAATTATTAACATGTGGGATGAATTCAAACTATGTTAGATTAACACATGGTTGGCAAGTTTGTGGCTCAGAATACATATATTGACAACATATTCTGTGCCTCAAGCAAAAAACATAAGCTGTCCTTAGATATATTTTTTTTAGCTTGTTCCATTTGGACTTGTGTTTCTAGTCCACCACCTGAAGCTTCTGCTTCATTATGCTTATGGACAGAACCAGCCTTGCTTGTTGCAAGTTAAGGTTCTTGTTTCCCCAAGGGATCTCTTAGTACTGGATAGATTCAGCTCCTCCCCATCTACATTTATACTTATTGCTGGTAAGCAAGTGTGGTTGCTGCAGGCAAGACAAAGTCTTCTGATCTAGCCTCACCTCTCAAGGAACATAACAAAAGCCTGGGTTTACGTAAAAAGCTAAGTAAAAATGTATGGTTAATAAGCTACTGTATGGTGACTGTTTTGAAAGAATTTAGTCAACTGTGATTTACATAGTTGTCATAGGTAAACAAAATATGATTTGGTACATTTATAAACATAGTATAGAGCTTACCTCCCATCATTCCTTGTTAGGTGGCATGACATATAGGCTGGGCTTGAACAAAACGCTACTCTAAAATGCATTTGTCTATTGGTATGAACCCAGACCATGTGGCAGCTTATTTTCAGGTGGTGTGAAAATGCAAGCTATTTACTAAACCATAAATCTATAATAAACATATTGTAGAATCATACGGGTACTTATCTCACTTTTTCCTAGACTTCAAAAGGATTGGGAATGGTATTATCACTCTACCCCATGGTTTTTTAAACAATGGGATTCACATGAAATGCTAAACCTCAAACAATTAAAATACATTTTGGCTTTGCATACTATGTAAACACATCCCTTATAGTGTTTTGATGTTAGCTGCTGTAAAAGACAAAGAGAGTAAAATAGTGGTTGGATTTGTTTAATAATAGTTTATTAAATGTTTAATAATAGTTTATTAAATGTTTAATAATAGTTTATTAAATGTCAGAATATTCGGACATTTAGCATGCCCAACATGCTAAACTATAAACCATGCCTTAACAAATCCTAATCATTGGGTTAACTCATGCCACCAATCCATATTGTGATTTGTTTGATTCTGACTTAGAGTGACATATAAACCTAGTTTTGTGGTTTTCAAATCATACTTTAAGGCTTACCATTGTGGCACAAGACTATTCAAGCTTGTGCAACAATTCATCATTAAAGTAAATGATGGCTTTCATTGTGGGTTGACTTTCTCCATCTTATCTCTTGCAGCAACCAAGCTCTCAGATATCACTTGCACAGCCACAGAAGCATTAAGACTGGACCCCCAATATTAGAAAACTAGAACAGAAACAGTTTTGGGGCTTCAGCCCAACCTAACAGGGAACAACTTTCACTTCCCTACATGAGACAATTATCTCCAACTTCAAGAAACTAAAAAACTGCTCTGTGACAGCATTTACTCATGTTAATAACGTGGTATCATTTTGACTTTACATAGTAAATGAACTTAATCATTGTGATTGACTCAATAAACATGATGAAACAAATATGATTTAGTAGGAAGTGTAAATCCATTCACTGTTGTATTCGGTAAAACTTTAGGAAAATATTTGTGACTACAAAAAGCAATAAATATATATATCTTAATGCAGCTCAGTAAACTTGATTACACTGATCAAGTTTATGAAAAACAGGATATAGGTTGCATCTTACCATGGAAAAGCAATCTTTTCCTTTTGACTTTCTGACTAGGTTTTCACATTGCAAACCCCCCCTAAAATATGGTGTTTTAATTTAGCAAACTATAATTCTAGCCATAGTTTACAGCTAGCATTACTCCACCTCCCCTTATACCAATGCACCTTTCCCAAAGAGCAACTTACATCCGTTGACTGTTCCTTTGGCATAAATTTCTTGGTCTCCTTTTCAGAGTAGCTGAGTGTTTCCTCTCGACTGCACTTGCCACTCAATTGCTTGTCAGTTTTATCTCTCTGCTCGAAGTCTACCGGAATGCTCCCATCTGTATCAGATGCATCTAGCTCTTTTTCTAGCTCCTCCATCTCCTCTGGAGACAAAGTGGATAGTAAGTTGTCAATATCTGGATCTTCACTGACTTGCCGTCGGTATTTTGCTACTTTAGACATCTTGGCAGGTTGCACGAGTTCACTGTTATATGTGTATCTTTATGTATTTGTGTATATATTAAAAAGCAAGCTTAAAAAAAGTTGGGATTTCTGCAAAACCAAGTTCTTTTTTCTGGTACTGTAGAGGTGTTGAAATGTTATATGTAAGAAACCAAACCCCTTTTACAGCTTGGATTATAATGACTATGCAGATGTAGAGAAACTGGCCAATGAAAAGTAATAACAGTTTAGCCAAGCAGAGCAAAGCCAATCATACAAGACAAGAGGTGGAGCTAATGTCTATCAGAGGAGTTTGAAACTTGAGGACATTCCAGGGAATCTTGAAGTGCTGCATGACCAAATTTAGTCTTGAACTTTTAGGTTTTTCAAGGCAATGAAAGAAGAGAAACTTGCATATTTTCTAAAAAGAAAAGCAAAACAAAATTCACTAAGCTGCTGGCAGGCTGCATGGATGCAGAAATGAAAACAAAATCTTTAAGTATGTATATTAACTGCTCACACATCTACAAACAAATGCATCTCCTTGTTGGCATGCAGTGTCTTATTTCACTTCTCTCAATAATAATACGGTATGTAAAATCAGAATATGCCTGAAGCTTTCTTAATTTAATAAAATATTCAGTTGTTGAAAGCAGCATAATTTCTATTTCTCCATTGAAAATACATGAATTTTCAATTTGATATTTCTTTTGAATCTCACACAAATGATAGAAAATTATAGTTATTATACACTTTCAATGTATAAGTCATTAAACAAGTCCCCAACCCTCATCAACTTGTAGTTTAAAGTTAGATAGAAAGCCCATCAGATTCTTTGGAATACATTTGCATAGAGTTGGATTGCCCATCTACAGTTGCTAGGGAGTAGAGAGAGTACAATAGGATGCATCTTCCATTTTAATCTGGGAGATTTTCAGTAAAAACAGTTTAGATTTTTCAGTCCTTCTCTGAAATGTCCTCTGAAAATGTTACATTGCTAGCAAAATATAGGGACAGTAGGAATGGTGGTTTCTGAGTAGTTCTGGAATTATTACTGGAAAGTTTTTCTTCCTCAGTTTTTATTTCAAAAGCTCACTAAATTGCTACAGTAGTATCATTGGAAATTGACAGGTTTTAAATTAATTTAAATTTACGGTAATTTCACAAAATGGTATTCTACCAAGGTATTAAACAAGTACTCCATTCATATGCCTTCCAGGTTGGGAAATTCTGACCAAATATTTCATATCTTTTATTATGCAAAGAATAAGCAAAGAATGTGCTTTTTCTGCGACTCACCTCCATCTTCTTTTGCCTGCTTTGTAACAACTAGTATTCATGTTGGAAGGTCAAATCTAGAAATGATGCTGAAAAACTAATACTTGCTTCGTTGTTTGACATTTGCATTATGTTTTTTATTCAGATTAGTGTTTTCCAGATCTGTTCAACTTCAAGTTGAGCTTGCCAATAGCATGTTGGAGATGCTTGGGGATGGTTGGTTTGCATCATAATTTGCATCATAATTTATTACAGTATATCTTAATATTTGAAAGAAATAATAGACTGATGTCAAAATAGAAAAATGTAATTCCAAAAATGCTACTTATGTAATCAATGACATGGATTATGTCATTAAGAAACAATATTGAATGAACATATCAAATTATCACTGTATTTATACTATTTAAAAATATTTTTTCAGATTGCACATTATCAGGCCTTGTGAATTTTAGTGCAATCTAATAACTGCCAAAGCAAAGTCAAAATACATTCTTTTTTACCTAGGTTTTTCTCCCATCCCCTCAGACCTTTCCTAAACCTAACTTTTACAAACAATGCACTCCATCTACTGACAGTCACTATTATTACACAACATGTAAAATATTATTATATGATGTAAATGTAGTGCAATATTTCAACTTTGTGTTACTGTAGTGTAAATAAAAGCCTCACTGGCCTTCAGTCCTCTACTTTTGTTGAACTAGATAGATATTTGATATGTGTTGTTACTTTGCTTTTAGGTTCAGTATTTTGGGCTTGTTCAACACAATGCTAAGAAGGAAATGTAATACAGTTTGTATCTTTTCTTGACAAAAACATCAGTCTAGTAGCAATTTTTCTTTTCTTTTTATTAAATGGCATAGGTCTTCTTGAACTGCAGCTTATTGCATCAGATGCATGAAGTAGCTTGATTGATGTAAGATTTAAATTGGAGTGAGGACGGGGAAATTGTTAAATAATAAGGTAGATGCAATCCGTCTCATATACAATCTGCATAACCAACCTCAGGTGGTCCTCGACTTACAACAGTTCATTTAGTGACCATTCAAAGTTACAATGGCACTGAAAAAAGTGAGTTATGACCAGTTTTCACACTTATAACTGTTGAACATTCCCATGGTCATGTGATCAAAATTCAGATGCTTGACAACTGATTCATATTTATGATGGCTGCAGTGTCCTGAAGTCATGTGATCCCCTTTTGCAACCTTCTGACAAGCTAGATTCACTTAACAACCATGTTACTAACTTAACAGCAGTGATTCACTTAACAACTGTGGCAAGAAAGGTCATAAAATGAAGCAAAACTCATTTAACAAATGGCTCACTTAGCAACAGAAATTTTGGGCTCAATTGTGGTTGTAAGTTGAGGACTACCTGTACTTTCCCTTCCTCCCTACCTCACTTCATTTAAATCTTAAATGAAATTTGTTAATAAGAGACACTACTAGAAGAGATGCTACTCTTAGTTTTTTTGCCATCATACACTACATTGGCTCTCTTTCTACAACATGGATGTCAAACTGCCGGCCTGTGGGCCAGATGTGTCATGCCAAAACCGCGGCCACCCCATTGCCGGCAATGGAAAAAAAGGCACGATACATCGTGACACATCACATGATGTTGCGAGTTTGATTCCCCTGTTCTACGATATAGTCTTGATTCATTTGATATGCATGATCTCCAAAATAAAGCCTTCGTTGACAGAAGTAGAAAATTTTGGACACATCCATGCTCAGGAGGAAAGCTCTTTCCCTGGTTCTCCGCTGTTCAGTCCTTGTTTTGGCATGCAAAGGGTAGTTCTATTCAGTCATAAAAGATCCAATCACTGGATGCCTCCTAGGACCTTTCTCCAACATAGAGACCGGCTTTCAAATGTCATTACTGTACTGTACATTTCTTACCTCTTGCTTTCTAGATGAACTTTCAATGAGAGTTTTGCATTATTCTCGTGATGGGATTAAAAGGCTATCTTGGCAATGGAAACATGGCCATATTTGGGTTATGTAGTAGTTGTGGGCTGGTCCAATTCACACGTGCAAAGAGACAGGGATCAGGGACAGCAGAGGGATATGGAGGGAAAGGGTGGCCAAGGGGCAGAAAGAGGCAGGAGGAAGAATTTGCAGCTTTATGATTTTTTCCAACTTAAGCTCTTCGTTAAGACACACTGCACTGTTACAGTGCAGACATACCACAGTGTTCCTTTAATGCAAGGGTAGGCAATCTTGGTTCTTTTATGACTCGTGGACTTCAACTCCCAGAATTCCTGAGTTAGCATAGCTGACTCAGGAATTCTGGGAGTTGAAGTCCACGAGTCATAAAAGAACCAAGGTTGCCTATCCCTGCTTTTAGTGCAACATCTTTATCTGTGTGGTGGAGGTTATGTAGTCGCTGAGTAGTGTCCGTCTCTTCGTGACTCAAAGGACCATAGTACTCCAGGCTCCCCTATTTTCCACCGTCTCCCGGAGTTTGCCCAAATATCCAGTACTGTACAGCAAAAAGGCACTTCATCCCTTCACACGTAAGCCACACAATCCGGAAATGGTAGGGAAACGTCATTTAGACTCCCGATATAAAACTACTCGACCTTGACTTTTTGTCACTTTGTTTTATCCTCAGCATGTCCGTCGTCAAAATTTAAAGTATCCATCGAATCGAATATACTACCGTAAATCGATCAACGCAGATCATTTTAACAGCGAGTTATTCTTTTGCTTTCCTATCCGTGATGCTAGAAAACTCCACGTTCGGTGAATTCTCCCCCCTACACCTTTTTTTTAATTATTAAAAGTTTTATAAAAATTTTACAATATAACTACCCCCCCTCTCCAAAACCCTCCCTGCCCCTCCCCCCCACTTCCCAGAGCTAATCACAGGGTTAACAATGAGATAATCATATTCTAACTAACATTAATCAATTATTAGAATAACAAATCTGTAAAAATCCTTTAACTCTTTCTTAACATAAAATATACTAAGATTAAACACAATAATAATAATAATATCATATTAATAATTAAAAACAAAGATAAATAAACTGGGTAACTATGTACCAACAATAATACTCTAAAATTCACTCAAAAACCAAATGGAACTTTTTGGTCCCATATTTCTTCTCAATATAATCTATCCATCTTCTCCAAACCGAAATATATCTTTCTTGTGAATAATCCTTCGCGTAAGCGGAAATCTTGGCCATTTCTGCTAAATTTGAGACTTTAAGTCAGTGTTTGTCAACCTTGACAATTTTAAGGCATGTGGACTTCAACTCCCAGAATTCCACAGCCAGCAATGCTGGCTGTGGAATTCTGGGAGTTGAAGTCCACATGCCTTAAAATTGTCAAGGTTGACAAACACTGCTTTAAGTGACCATTCTTCTATAGTGGGCAGCGCCCCCCCCCCCACCTTTATAGCATAAAGATCTCACACCGGAATCAAACTTAATTTTCCTCCAGAATTTTCCTTCGCCCTGGCGTCCCTGATGCAACCGGAGGACGGAAGGGGGAGGCAGCGCCGCAACCTCTCGGGTAGCTCAGCCCCGGAACTGGGCCTCGTTAGTTGACCCGGCCCCTTCGGGACTGGCAGCCAATGGCTGCGCCTCGCGTCGCCGGGGCCCGAAAGCCGCCCGATTCACAAGCCGGCAAGCGTCTGTCTGTATCTGAGCGTCACGCGGCTGTGCGGAAACCGGGTCGAAGATGGAGGAATACGCGCGAGAGCCTTGGTAAGCAATGGCCGTGGCTTTGGCTCCGGCCTCTTCCCTGCCTGTTTTTTTTTCTTCTCTCTAGCGGCAGCCGGCTCCGTCCTTAATGGGGCCTCCTTGGGACCCGCGCCGTTGCCCTTTCTCCTGCCGCGGCGTGCGGCCGGTCACCTTGGGGATGTGGATTGGTCGAGTCAGCAGTTCCTTCCTCGTAGAGGGCAAGGAACTCGGGGCATGCTCGGGGCTGGACGTCTTGCAGCCGGCGCGGCTCCTTTGAAAGTGGATCGGCAAGGGATCCGAAAAGAGGCAGCGTCGTCTGCGCTTCTTTTAGGGTGGCCGGAACCCGGCGGCCTTTGACTGGGAAGCGACGAGAGAAGGCAGGTGGGAATGAAGTGGCTGCGCGAGGCTTTGTTAGGCTGGACCTGCCCTTGAGATACTCCTTGCCGGTTTGGCAAACATATCATCTGTAAACATCAGTCCAATTTCTACTCCATCTTCTGTTGGAGGCAGGAGAGTCTGTGGTCTTCAGATGCTGCAGAATTACTGTACAGTTCCCAGCAGCTAACCAACCTGATAATGCAGAACTCTTGATCAATTCCCAGCAGCTAACCAAGGGGCCTTGTAAATCGTAACTCAGCACCCTATGTACAGTAGAGGGTATCCCCATCGCTGCTGTTAATTATAATACAGCCTGCTTGCTGACACCAGAATATTTAATTGGAGACATGTGGTTTCCAGTCATCATACATTGATAAGCCAAAAATATCAGTGGACCTGTATCAGGGTATGTTGCAATGCTCGCCCCTCAGCACTGTTACAACAGTTGCAGTTCCTTTAGTGCAGGGGTAGTCAACCTTGGCTCTTTTATGACTCGTGGACTTCAACTCCCAGAATTCCTGAGCCAGCTGTGCTGGCTCAGGAATTCTGGGAGTTGAAGTCCACGAGTCATAAAAGAGCCAAGGTTGACTACCCCTGCTTTAGTGCATCATTTTTATCAGTGTGGTGATTATTGTGCAGTCGCTAAGTAGCATCCATCTCTTTGTGACTCAAACGACATAGTTCGCCAGGCTCCCCTATTTTCCACCGTCTCCTGGAGTTTGCCCAAATATCCACGTGGTAGAGAAGTTCAGTCAAACCACATGTGTCCTTTTATACCATAGATGTTATTTGATAAAGCACAAAATCTTATTTTCTTTTTTTAAGCAACAATTCTAGGCCTTTCAGATGATTTCTGTGTTGATTTCCTTTTTCTGACAAGGTTGCAAGGTTTTGTTACCTAGTCTCAAGATTGTAGCAGAGTGTCCACAATGAAAAATAAACTTGAAACATATACTGTATTTGTCTGTTGGTTTTTGTTTTGATATTTTTGGGATGTGCATTTGTTAGCAAGGTAATGGACATAATACATTGAAGCTGAAGTATCTGAGGAATTGTTTGCTGTGATCTAGTTACAAGATTTATCTACATCTATATTTTTAGCCCCTGGAGAATAGTGGATGATTGTGGTGGTGCTTTCACAATGGGAGCCATCGGTGGAGGCATCTTTCAAGCCATCAAAGGATTCAGAAATTCTCCAGTGGTGAGTTAAAATAATTTCTAGAGTCAAGGTTTGATTACTTTTTCTAAAGTGTTTAAATACAGAGTTTTGGAAATAATGAATTCAGGGCAAATAATTTCTTATATTTTTGAATATATAAAATTATATATGTTATATTTAAATAATATGAAGCACATTTTTTAAAAATGCCTGTTCTCTGAAATCATAAAAATCATATAATTGTGGAAGGATCTACAACTATTATGTAATCCAACTCCTTGCACTGTGCAGGAAAAACAACCCATCCATGAGAGTGGCTGCTCAGCCTCTTCTTAAAAACCTCCAGAGATGGAGAATTCACAGTATGTTTATTTTTATTTATTTATTAAACAAACAAGCTCATATAGCCATTCATCTACAGAAAAAACTTTGGGCAGCAAGCAAGAATCACAATATAATTAAAACAAAAACAACCAATTATATCCATCAATCATTCTGTGCCAATCCCTTCAGTATCTCAGCGTCAGTGCCTTGGCAAATAGGTCCCAATAGCTCTTCAGCTAGTTCATTCCATGTTGTATAGTTTATTTCAGTGGTGGCGAACCTATGGCACGGGTGCCAGAGACGGCACTCAGAGCCCTCTCTGTGGGCACGCGCGCTGTCGCCCCAGTCCTAGGCCTTCAGCTGGGTTTTATAAAACCTTTTCACTTTAGGCCTCTGCCACCATGTGCAAAAAAAAAAAAAGGTTCAATCAGTCAATTTCAACTTCTCGAGGGAAAAAAAAGTTCTTGCAAAGTTGGAATTGATTGATTTAACTTTTTAGTCCCACCCAGTCTGCCGTTACCACTGCAGCCATGCCCATCCAATTGGCCACACCCAGCCAATGGGCCACACCCAGCCAATGGGCCACACCCACCTGGCACTCGACGATACATAAGTGGGTTTTGGGTTGCAGTTTGGGCACTCAGTCTCTAAAAGGTTCGCCATCACTGGTTTATTTCATCAGGGTCCTAACCGATAAGCATCTTCTTTTGCTATGTTCATTCCCAACCTATGCTATTCAGATCACTATTTCCTTTGGATGTAAAGACAGAGGTAAAATAGTTCCTCTGCTTCTTCTTGATCATTTGCTAAGATTTCTCCCTTTGTGTTAAGCAGTGAAGCCACTGAGACTTTAGTCTTCCTCTTGCTATTAACAGAATTGAGGAAGCCCATCCTGCTAGATTTTGCTTCTCTTGCTAGCCTTAGCTCATTTTCCGTTTTTGCCTTCCTGATCTTATTGTTATATTTCTAAGCTGAAGTTTTGTAAACTTCCTTGATCATTAACACTTCGTTCCAATTTCGACTGAGCATCGTTCTTTTGTATCAGCCTCTTTGTGAGCTGCCTGTTTAACCACACTGGCTCCTTTAGATGTCTTCTAGTAATCTAGTTTGCCTTCTCACTGATATTGTTTATGATTTAAATCCTTAATTTCTGTTTGAAAAATCATCATCTTTGCCTTTAAGGTCTCCTTCCTATGGTATCTTCCTTATTTCTTTTAATTTATTAAAACAGGTTATTTCTAAAATCCATGAGCTGTTTGACTGTTTTTACCAAGTAAAAAATAACATTATGATCAGTGCAAATCTAGGATTTATCAGCCATCTTTTCTTTTGACAAAATTAGTCCACAAGTATTTTAACAGGTAAAATCTCTTACCATAACCACTTAATGGATTTTTGAGGCTTCTATTACCTGCTTTAAATATCTTCATCTACTTCTGACTGGATTGGTAGTCTGTAACTGACTCTTCATAAGATACCACTTTTGCTAGTTTGCCCTGTCCTCTTGATCCAGATGCTTTCAACACTCATGTTACTATCACTCCAGTGGACTTATACACACAGTAGTGCTTAAAAGTTTGTGAACTCTTCTGTAGTTTCAATATGTCTCCATAAATACGATCTCAATTTTCCACACATGTCCTAAAACTAGATAATGAGAATCCAATTAAACAAATGAATCAAAGTCCTTGCACCTCCTCATTTATATATTGAGGAAAATGATCCAAAGCTACACATTTGTATGGCAAAACTAGATGAACCTGGCTTTAAGTAACTGGTATGCTGCCCCCACTCCCTTGGGCAGCAATAACTGCAACTAAATGTTTCCAATAATACTGATTCAGTCCTGCACATCGGCTTGGAGGAATTTTTGTTCATTCTTCCTTACAGAAGAGCTTCAACTTAGGGGTGTTGGGTTTCCTTGCAGAAGCTGCCAGCTTTAGGTCCTTCCACAACATTTCTCTAGGATTAAGGTCAGGACTTCGACTTGGCTATTACAAAATATTAAGTTTCTTCTGCTTTAATTATTTTTTGATTTTGTGACTTGTCTGTTTTGAGACATTGTCTTGCTGCCCGATCTATTTTCTCTTGAACTTCATTTCACAGATACCCTGACATTTTCTTACAGGATTTGTGAGTAAAATTTGCAATTCATAGTTTCATCAATATCCTAGGTCAGGCAGCAAAGCAGGCCCAAACCATGATAAGGCTGTCACATTTCGCAAAGGGCAACATTGGGCAACAGTGTTCTTTTTTGAGAGGTGGCTTTCTCCTTGCAGTGCTGCCATGGACAGTGTTCTCTTGATGGTGTCAGTCAACATTTCCTAGAGTATTTCATGCCTTGTTTTTGGGCTGATCGTGGTTAATCACTCCTGGGGAAGTAACAGTGGTGTTGAATTGCCTCACTTTATACATGATCTGCCTGAAAATGGACTAGTAGAGTCCAAAGTCTTTGGAAATAGTTTTGTAACATTTTCCAGACTGGTGAGCATCAACAACTGTTTGTCAGAGGTCCTCAGAAATCTCCTTTATTCGAGCCATGACACATTTCCACATACCTGTTTTTTGAAGATCAGACTTTAATAGTGAATTTCCAACATTATATGCTTTAAGTAAGGCAGGACTTCCCCCACTCACACCTGATAATCACCTTTTGATTGAAACACTTGACTCTAATTTCCCCTTCAAATAAATTGATAATCATAGAGATTGATGCACAAATATGTAGCTTTGGATAATTTACCTCAAAAAATAAATGAAGAAGTGTAATATTTGACTCATTAGCTTAATTGGGTTCTCAATCTTTCTATTAAAGTTAGTTTTTAGTACACTTACTAATTTCAATAAAGTCTGCATACTGTATATTTGTCTACAAAATAGGGAATACAAAATCAGAATGATCAATTAAAATTGAAACATCAGAGCAGAGTATAACTGTATAAAGCAGAGTGAAGAATTTGGAGAACTGAGGTACAACAATTTGTTTGATCATTTCTAAGCAAGTCTGTCTTTTATTTTTCTTTTCATTATTACCCCTTTTCTTATGTTTATTTATCACATTTGTATAGCCACCTGACTCTACAATAGTCCAACCACCATAGCTGTATGTATACATAATATACACCTCACAGGTCTGTTCTTTATGCCTGATAAATTGGATTCTAATCCATGAAAAATTAGTTTAGGCAGTTTAGTTTATAGCTTTATCTTTTATGATCCAGACTTCATATAAATGAGAATATAAATGATCAGTGAACCAACCTAATGTAGCCTCGAGCCATTTAATCAAAGTACTTTCTTGATACTTTAAACTATAGGATGGTGATGAGTAGAATTTTAACTTAGTATATCAATCTCAGGATCATAGCTTAAACTCTGTCGATTGTAAATTGAATAAAAACCTTTGGTATTGCTCTAATAGTGTATTTTTACTTTTTCCAGGGTGTAAATTACCGGTTGCGGGGTAGTTTGACGGCTATTAAAAGCAGAGCACCACAGCTAGGAGGTAATTATTGTTGTAATTCCTTCTCTGTTTTAAAAAGAAAAGTGATAACATTTCTTGGGGGACATGGCTTTTACTTATCTTTAGTGTAGTATATAACTGAAGAAGGGGGTACTATAGCTGTGCCATTAACTGCCATGCTCTTTTGACAATGAAAAGAAGGGAACAGAAGCCTATTTTCTTTTAAATCAGGAAAAAGTAACACTCATATTACATTTGTCAATATATTTTTTGCTTGAGCATTTCCTTCCTAGGTGGAGAAGGAAGACCATCTCTTCCAAGTACCCGGTCTACCTAAGCAGAGAGAAAAGAACACTTCATAGTTATCTTTCAAGATTTATACTTTGAGAAACTTTTGTTTCCTGGCTAGAGAGTAGATTTCTTCTTTTCTCTCTAAAATAAAGTTATTTAGAAGCATAGATAAGTACTTTCAACAAGAATCCTCATATATTCATTTGTGAGAAAATATGTGTTCAATTCCAATGTGAGGACAAAACAGTTATCTTAAAATAGGGCAAAAGAGGGTAAAGTGTTATCATTGAATGTATGAACTGAGAGCTAGCTTGGCCTGAGTTCTAAACATGTCATAGGCACAAAAGCCACGTGAGTGGTTTTTGAGCCAATTACTCTCAGCCCTAGGGGAAAAAAGTGGCAAACAACTTCCAGAAACTGCATGGTCTTGTCCGTATAATCACCAGGAGTCCAGAATGGCTTGAAAGAAGAAGAAAAAAATTATCTTTTATTTATTAAGTCAGCGGTTCTCAACCTATGGGTTGCGACCCCATTTGGGGTCGATCGACCATTTCACGGGGGTCGCCAAGCAAGGCTGTCCACCATTTTTTTCCCCTTTTCCAGCGGGTGCCTTACCTCCCTTGAGCTGGGCCAGCTGGTGGTCGGCCTGCTCCATCTCTGCCGCTTGCCAGCTACGCCTCGGCCGGCGCAGGGGGCGGAACCACGCATGCACGGCGCTCCCGGGCAGGGAAAGTCCTCGACTTACGACCGGTTTAGTCCTCGACTTACAACCGGTTTAGTCCTCGACTTACAAAAGGTTGAGAACCACTGTATTAAGTGAACTGCTTTGAGGAATTAAGGGGATGCAGATTTTAAACAAATGTATTTGCCCTTTGGAATATTGCTAAGGAGCTCTGGTGGGCATTAATTATACTTCCTTTTTGTGTTAAGTTCTTGAATATTTGATATGTTTCCTCATAACTAAAGGTTCTGTTTCTTTTTGAACTTAAATAAAATTTCTCCAGCTTCTTTTGCTAGAATCCACATTTAAAAATGACCACTAAAACCTTGGTTATAAGTTCTGAATTATTTATCATTCAAATAGGTAGCTTTGCTATCTGGGGTGGTCTCTTCTCCATGATCGACTGTAGCCTGGTGAAAGCAAGAGGAAAAGAAGATCCTTGGAATTCTATTACCAGTGGTGCTTTAACAGGGGCCATTTTAGCTTCAAGAAGTAAGGACCATTGTAGAGATACTGCCTACGACAAATTGAGAATGAACATTTTTTTAAAATTTCTGACAATAATTAAAATGAAAAATGATCATTTATCAGCACATATTTTATGATTCTTAATTTTCTGCATTAGAATTTCTTGAAAGGATGGAGAGGGGGTTGCACCTAAAGTTTTGGAGTGATATATGTGACCTTTAGGCTGCAGGATGTATATTCCTGCTATAAAGAATCTACACTGTATTTTCAGTGTTTTAGCTTGACATTCCCATTTTCACCAAGTTTTTGGAGAGAATGACTCTTTTCTTCCTTTTTAGTCCCCTCTGGGTTTATTTTACTGCTATCTTTATTCTTTTGTCTCATGCTGTTTTTGTGTTGTGTACTGTTCTTTTGTTTTTAAATGTTTAGCAACTGTAAACTGTCCAACGCTAGGAGCTGGACACTTAATAAATTTAATAAGTTATTATTACTACTATATGGTTGATATTTCCAGCATAAAATGTAATCTGGTGTATTATTATAGGATGATTTTTAAAAATTATTCTAAATCTTGGTTTTTTTGTTTTTGTTTTTTAAATTTATTAGATGGACCAATTGCAATGGTTGGGTCTGCAGCTATGGGAGGAATTCTTCTAGCTTTAATTGAAGGAGCAGGTATCATGTTAACAAGATTTGCATCTGTGCAATTTCCAAATGGTAAGATAATTGCTTAGTTTAATATGCTGTAAAACCTGATATTTAATTCTCTTACTGAGAAACAATTTTACTTTTTTAAAAAGTTCCATTAAATATTGTGGCAGTAATTTTCACAGCAATAAATAGAAAGCATTCAAATAAAAAATTTGCAGCTACTTAAAAGTATTTGCAAATTTTTAATACTTTCACATAACAGGCATCAAAACATTGTGTAATAGTGGTGTCATACAGTTGTCAATTCTAGTTCTAACACATTAGAGTAATTTCTGAACTGTGATTGCCTTCCCAATTGCACATTAGCATGGAACAATCATACCCTAAGAATTCCCATTTTCTCCCTTGACCCTAATGAAATTCAGTGCAGCAATACACTGCAGAATGTTAAATGATTGTTATTTTTTTTAATTACAGGTCCTCAGTTTTCTGATGACCCATCTCAGTTACAGGCCTCTCCTTTTGGGGACTATAGGCAGTACCAATGATTTCTTCTGTTTCTGCTGAATTTTAAAGTTTTACCTTTAAAAGAAGAAGCAAAATGCAGCCTCATTTGAAGACTTTTCATTGGATGTGTACATGTAGATGTTATTATATTTTTCACAATATTTAAAAGATAATGAATATGAATCTATCACTGTAAATAAATATGAAATGCCTGCAAACTCCATAGATATTCCTTAACTTAAGGATCAAGCAACATATGGATCTGTGGCCTTTTTCAGTATAATGCAAATTACATCACTGGGGATATAACAACCATGTAATATCAAAACGTACGGAATGCATTAGAAGAATATGTGCTGGTAACAGATATCTGCAGTGAGCTGCATTGTTTCCTTCCAGATAATCAGAAAGAGAGGTGCAAAGTAAAGAAGAAATATTTAATTTCCTTTTAATTTTTTATAATGTTAATATATTCTCAATAGTGAGATTGAAATATTAAGAAAGATCATAATAGTTCTTTACTGAATATTTAAAATAATGTATTATGTTGGCAAAAGATTCAAGGATTATTTTTGGCAAAAAATCTGTTTTTTTCTTGAGCTTTTTTAATCTTTGGAGAATAAGTTCTATATGTTGTTCACATAACAGTGGATGAAATGTTTGTGATCAGATGGTGTAATTTGCATGTCTAAAGTTCCTTACCCTACCTGCACAACAACACAATTGTCCCTCATATCAGCCTTATCTGAAACATTTGTATTTAAAACTTTTGTCTGTTTTAAATGAGTTTACTATTTTTTCCCAAGCAATTATACAAAGAATATAAATATATTACCTGTTTTAAGACTAAACATGAGAATGAAGTATTGCTTTAACAAGACAAAATGCTCTATGAACTTGTTCAGTAGTTTGGAAAAGTTAGGGATGTACAGCATTTCACATACCAAGGGAAAAACATGTTTCAGGATGCCTGAGGGTGTTCTGTTGGAAACTTGTTAAAGCAGCCATGTCTTCCTACGATTGCATGGCTGTCCTCCATAATGGTAGCATGATGTTGAGAAAAGACACACTTGGTCTGGAGCTACATGCAGACCTAAATGCACACTAAAACAACTTTACTCCTAGTAATCTAAAACAGATTCCCAACCCCCAGCCTGTTAGGAAACAGACTGCACAAGTGGTGGATAAGTGAGCAAAGCTTTGTCTCCACAGGTGTGGGATCTAGGTTGCACATGAAACCATTCCCCCTCTATGGAAAAATTGTCTTCCATGAAACCAGTCCCTGGTACCAGAAAGGTTGGAGACTGCTGATCTAAAGTACTGAACAGCCCTATTATAGATCTTATTTATGTGATACTAGTTGCAAAAAAACTGGCAACACAGAACAGTCTTTCTGAAGTTAAAATTAAATTACTGCTCTCCAAAGGCACCTATGTCTTATTGTTACATTTTAAAATGCATCTTCTGTAAGGATTCACACGTGTCAGCTTTCTGTGCTTTCTGCATTGTCTTGAGGTAGTCAACTGTGGCTGGGCTGCACCATTTCAGATAAACATTTAATTAAACAAAGATACAGTAAATTAATAGAGAAGACAGTTTAAACTCTTTCTCCATGTGGAAAAATTTGAAGTCTTGGAAGTTCCTATCTGTACTCTAGTACAATCCCAGGATCTTTTGTCATTTTAAGTAAGAATTGAATTTTCTGTATTGCATGGAGATTTACATGTCAATAGTACAATACTGAAGATTTTTGGATAAACTATTTTAAGAAGTTAGCTCCAATAAATTCACAATTGCTCCAATAAATTCACAATTATCAAATTATTTGGGTTTTTATGTGTGTTCTATTCTTGCAAATTTCTACTTAAATTAAGCCTTGAGATACATGATAGGAGAGACTGTATAACCCTGAAGATATTTTTGAGATACAGTACAATTTTGATATAGCGTGGACAGCTTTTTTACCAGCAGTACTTTAATGTAGGTTGTATTAGGATATATTTATGGCTTATGAATACAAATAGTGACTTTCTTTAGTGACTGCCTTGTACAGCTACAATAGAGATGAAAAAGTAAATTTGTGAGCAACCCTCATGTTTAAGACCTTTGCAGGTCTGTAAAGTAAAGTAAAGCTAAAGTAAGTTCATAAGCAAAATTGCAGTTTCACTTAGCAACCACTTCGCTTAATGGAGCTGCTTATCCCAATTGTGGTCACTAAACAAGGACTCCTCTATCTTATTTGCATATAGGGATGCATATTTGCATCCATGTAAACAAAATACATGAATGAAGAGGATGTTTAATGGGGAATATTGCACCTCAAAATCTAAGGAAGTCAGTAACATCTATTATTATTTGTTTTTAGAGAACTAATTGCAAGGGAATTAGAATTATACAGAATACTCGGCGGGTAACGTGTTGAGAAGGATTTAATCATACAGCCAATTAAATAAGCATTTTTGAGAAGATTCAGTGCTGGGTTAATATATTACACCAATCTATAACTTATTTAAACTGGGTTTTTTAAAACTGAATTTAAACTTGCCAAATAAAAACAAAATTAACTGTAATTTACCACAAATATAGTAGTCCTCAACTGACGGGCCACAGCTGAGCCCAAAATTTCTGTTGCTAAGCAGGACAATTGTTAAGTGAGTTTTGCCTCATTTTACGACCTTGTCACAGTTGTTAAGTGAATCACCAGCTGTTAAGTTAGTAACAGCTGTTAAGTATATCTGGTTTCCCAATTGACTTTGCTTGTCAGAGTTGCAAAAGATAATCATATGACACTGGTAGCCTAAAACTATCATAAATGCATGCCAGTTTGCCAAGTGTCCAAATTTTGATCATGTGACCATGGGGATGTTACAACAGTCATAGGTGTGAAAAATGGACATAAGTCTTTTTCCAGTTCTATCATAACTTAGAACAGTCACTAAACAAATGGTTGTAAGTTGAGGATTACCTGTATGTGATCAGGTGGTGAATTGCTAAGTGGTATTGTGGTTGGGCTTACAAAATTGGCTAACATGAAATAATGCTACAAAACTCTTTTAAGTTTTTGAATATTCCACTTTTCCTCACACTTTAGGACTTCATAGAACTGGATGAACAAAAAGCTCCCAGAAAAGTCCCTAAAATCAGACCAGATTGTATCACCATAGCTCATGTACTGTGCAGTTCACAAATTAATCACTTCAGATGCATTTGATCAATGGTACAAAAAGAAGCTTTTCCTTTCCCCTCCTTTCTAACTGATTTAATTTTTTTTAAAATGATGATGATGATGATGATCATGATGCAATCTCACGTATGTCACTCTTAATATGGGGCTGTCAGCTCTGATGCTGCAAGTGTAATCAACCACTCTGGCAGTTGCTCTGAGACAACTCTATGGTCAATCATATAACCATAGAGTCCTCTAGAACTTGCAGAACTGGTCCACAAGTGTTGGCAGCTGTTCTGAGCCCTAGTTTGAACATAGAGTCCTCAGAGCAACTGCCAGAATGGCTCCTAACATCTCAGGATTTGAGCAGTGGTATTAGCAACTTCACTATAAACATAATGGTGACAACGACAGTAGTAGGAGGGTAAGGGGGCAAAGCAGCAAGAGAGAGAGAACCATGGAAAATCACAAGACAGACCTCTGAAGGCTATATTTGAATTGTGGGTAACCCCCAACAATGAATTCTCATAACATATTAATCCATGGTTAATCAGGGTTTATAATTTACCCAATTTTCCATATTGTCAGGGTACACTGAACCACAGTATGTCTGTCATCAGTCTTGGTTTGACTGAAACAGAAATAATGTTTGTTAGAAAATGGCCTAAATGCCTGAAAATGATGCCCTGTTCAGTTAAGGTTAGTGCTGTCATCCCAAATAACTTCTGAGATAGAGCTGTGTTATGATATCAAGAAGAATTTATTTATTTATTTATTTAATTAAATTTATATCTCGCCCTTCTCCTTGCGGAGATGGTGGATGCTGTCTTTGTAGCTTCCTCAACCAAACCAATGCAGTGACACTCATCCCTTGTCTCCAGTCCATCTCCTCGATGACTATATTACCGTTTGTATCGATTCTTTTGCTAATGAAGTTGAGAAATTCAGAGAAAAGAAAAATAGACAAAACTTAGAATGTAGGAGTCAACAGCTGGAAGTGCTATGTGCCAGAGAGGTGGATAAAGCAAATGTCTTTTCCTAGGCAGTGTTGTATTTCCAAAAGCTTAATATTACCAGGCAGAACTTTTGACACAGACAAGATTTCTTTCTACAGTCTGATTAGATGCACAATCCTTGCTTATCAAAAATAGTGTTTTATTGTTCAAATCTTACTGTTGTACTATGCTGGAACCAAGATCTAACCAAAACATCATAAAACTAGATTCATTTCCTTACATTCTGCAGTTAAAAAGGCCACATGGGAAGAGAAAGATGCCTTTTGTAAAACATTTGCTTGCTTCTCTACTAGAATACACAATGTAAAGACAATCAAGCATAGGATAAATGCAATAAGTAAAAATTTGAATAAATTCTTACAAACTAAAATCCTCCAGAGAACTGATGAGCTCTCTGCCAATTCACATAAATCAGTAGAGATCAGTGAATGCAGCACTTCTTTTCCAGTCCCCACCTTATCCCTTACAGCGTAATTTATTATATGCAGTTAGTGCTCATTCCTTTTGTAGTCTACATTCTGGTCTGGACTTAGGGGAAGAATATTCTCATGCGTGCAAATTATATTGATCTTATTTTGGTGGATCAATCCTTTTCAGATTTGAGAGGCAGAATGCCGCTGGGGTGAAGGGAGCAGCCACAGCAATAATAACGCAAGCAAATAAATAGAATTTTGTGGGGTATGGTATATCTTTTTCTCTTATTGTGACATGTTGGTCAACATGGTACTAATGATACAGCTTTTGACAACATACTAAGCTAAAATGTGGTTAGCTAGGCTCTGATCCAGTGTCATCTAAACACAATGTTGATTACATAGATGATTTTTGTCAAATACCAGTAAGTATACACTTACTGTATACACTTATCCTGCTTATCAAACAAATACCTGGTTACAAAAGAATCAGAAATGTTGCTATTATGATCATATAACAGTTCTGTCTACCTCCCAACCCCCAATTAACACTGAATATATCTGCTCTTTCATATTTGAACATTTACATATCTAAAAAGAACATATCACCTAGGTCTTAAGATGTACTGTACAATAATAATTTGTTAGCAATTTTTTTCTCACCTGTCTTATTTCCATTTAGTTTTTTTTTAAAAAAATAATTTTAAAATGAGAAAGAGAACAACTTCAAGCACACCTGCATTTCCAACAATTCCTCTGGGTGCCACATGGACTCCAGAGGCATCAATAGGTAGGTTGCTGCAACCTAATGCTTTGTATGCTTTTGGTTTGTGGCTCTTTTGTAATTAACCATAGCCACATGACTACCATTTTGTGAGAGTGCCCATAATCTGCTTTCAAAATTTCAGATGAGTCTTTGGATCTAAAAGGTTGGGGAACCTTAACATTCCCTATAAGAGAATGTTGTAACAGGCCTATATCTGATTTTTTTTCTCCCTAATTACGACATTTTCTATTTTTCAATCTTTACATTTTCTTATACATACAGTATGTCCTTCAATAATTTTATATTTAAAGCTTCTTATTCCTTTTAAAAAAGAATTAGTCTTTTTCTACAAGTTTTCACTTCCAAGTACTTACATTTACCATTGTTCTATTTAACTGCAACATAATTCAAGCCAATCATAAACTTCAAATTCTTACCTTATACTGTTTTGACCCAGAAAACAAGCAAATAGTCTGCAAAACTATTTTCCAGGATATTTCATTGTATGTATAGTATAAAAGAGTCTGCTTGCTGCTATAAGTTTTTTATAATAAGTTTACTAAATGTTATAGTTAAAAAGAATACTAGCTAAAAAAATAAAATAATGAAAAGAGAAAGTGCAGGAAAGGAAAGAAAGTAAGAGAAAGAAAAGAAATATATAAGAATTGACTTCTCAGTTATATGCAGTATAAACAATTTTTGTAACTTATACCTTCTCTTAAAATGCAACAAAAGATTTCTTCTTTCTGTTGTCTCATATCATATCTACAAATCCTTAAAGCCTGGTCATTCAGTCCTGGTGAACAAAAACCCATTAAGGGTTGCTAGAGATAACAACATACCTATTTTAACATTGATCAAATAAACCATTTCACGTTTAACAATTTGATCCTTAATCCCCTCAAATAATGTCCTAGAACTTGATTTATTTTCATTTTTTTCTTTCTTCTCACAAAACTTTTCAAAACTTTAACAAGTCTCCTTTGTAAATTCAGTTTAGAAAAGTTAACTAGGTCACTCTTTTGGTTTGTTATTTGAGCGTCCCATTTAATTTTTAAGACTTCATCTGGTTTCATTTGTATATCAAGTGTAGCATCTTTTTTCATATAATTCTTGTAGCCTGCCATTTTTAGATCCACTTTCAGATCAATCTTAGTCCTATGTGGTAAAACTTGCTCTCCTTCCATAATAACTTTTAAAAACAGCCTATCTATAATGACAACTTCTGGGTCACAAATATCCATCAGTACACGAAGTGTAAAAGTATTTTGCTCCATCCATATTAGTAAGTCAAATTTAAATGTTCTTCTCCTTTAATTGTAACTTCAGTTCCTTCTGGTTCCCTCTAGTGTCCAGTTTTCAAAGTCCCATCCTATCATTTTTTAAAGAATTTGAAATAACAGTGTTTTCCTATGGGGAGAATTCTTATAACGAATTTGAAATTTTTATTTCAAATGCATTAG